CCAGGGATGTTGCCACTGCCAGCCCAGCTGATGGACAGCTTTCCATAGGAGTGCGACAGGGCCAGAGCCTTTGCCCTGCCTGTTCTTGACCTGCAAGCTGCCTCAAATAGGGAAGAGATTCGGCACATAAGGAAATTTCCGGGTAAGGATCTTAGAGGCCGTACTCGGGTTCGTTATTGAAGCTGAGCAATACAGGACACCAGGATGTCAAACTGTAGGCTACGATGCAAGAAAAATGGCGCATTGCTCCGAGTGTACACCAAACTTACCGAGATATTGCAAATGAATGGAGCTGGGGAGCTGTCTACGTTCAGAAGCTATGCCGATCGTTTCACTTCCGAAGCGGCACCTGCCTATCAGACCAAAGCATAATTCAGGATGTGGCAATATCATGTGGCATTTCGGTAGTTCTTGGACTACACGCACCAAGTAGATATGAAGCACGGCGCTTCGCAGCTTCCAACGGATGTTGTAAAGACCTTGACCCGATCAGTCGCCCAAGCGTGATTCAAACCCTCTGGCTTGCATTGCTCATTGCCTTATGGCGGCGGCTCTCTTCAAATCCACGTGCTCGCATGCCAGAGTCGAGCAAGCCAGACCCTGCCACGAATGCCTAATCGCAGATAGGCCTGCAGTGACTTTCGGTGCACTTGTGTAGCTGATGCTGTGCTTGCATTCCTTTTCAGAAGAAACAAACATGCTGTGCGAGCTACCCGACTTACAAACAGTACTCATTTGTGGCATGTTATGGGGCGGAGTTGCAAGGCTTGTGTTAGGGACTAGACTCCGAAGAACTGGAAGGGCACGTGTCTATACCAGACTGAAACTTCAGGCTCATTGCATGCAGTAGTTTTGGTGAGGGGGTGTATTGCTGCAACACGTAGCTTCAGGCGTCCTACACGAAGGCTTACACTACTGATGCCGTCATGGGTTCGAGGTTTTCGGGTGTTGGTCAGTGGTTGCCCGGGATGAAAGCGGTAGGACTTCTGGGCTTCTACACATGCTTACAGGTGCTTTTAAAGTGGAAGGCAAGTTTGCGAAAAGGTATATTCTCTTTTCTACACGACTGGGTTAAGTACTATGACGAAGGACACACAAAGGCCGACTGCTGTGGCAGCTACTGTCTCGGGCGGCATGCTTCGAGCATGCCTTCTGGGCAATGCTCGCTGTGAGGCTTGGGTGTCTTTAACTACAAAAGCACTTCGACAGCATGCAAAAAATGAAGAGAAACTATCGTGTCTGCTGCATCATTCACTCACTACCGGGTCGGTAGTTCATCAGATCTGCGATGGGGCACTCCTGCCCTCCGGACTCTTGCCAACGCTGCCATGCCAGCTGAGCACACAGAAGCGAGCTTGTTCTGAAACCATAAAGGCCCCAGCTTCGAGATCTCCTAAACTCGCTGCCCATACTCAGCAACCATCTCTGATTCAGGTTGTCCTCAAACAAACGTGCACCTGGAGGAAGCAAGGACTGCGCAATGTCGCCGTTCCATTCGGCTTGACTGGGCTTCGGGATTTTTTTGGGGTAGTTGCGGAAGGCAGCGGATCTCGCTGAACCTGGCTGCTTCCGTGAAGTGCCAGACTTCGAATGCTTTCGGACTGCTTCCCGCAGACCTTCATCCTCATTCAGTTGCTGCTGCATTTCAACACGGACTTTGTCCAGTTCTTTCACATCGCTGCTCTCCAAAACCGCCTCCACGTCCGCGTTCTGGAGCAAGTCCAGGGAATCATCGAAGCTGCGCAAGCGCAGCCGCAGGATTAGGGCCACTTCTTCTGCTTTCATCTCTGGGAAGATATGCTTCACCAATGCCTTCGTGCTCAAAAACTCAGAGAATGCACAAAGGTTTTAAATTGTCAAGACGCTGCATGCTGCTTAAGTTTTTCGAGCTATAGTATAGGTTTAAAGTGTACACAAAATTTGCTACAGTGGCATGAAAACCTAGGGGTTATAGGATTTTTTTTTAAAGTAATTATGATTCCTACTAGTCTGCTACTTTGGACGTTGTCGGCTCAGGGCTGCAATGCAAGAACGACGGTTTGTGGCTAAGTTTCTCCCAGATTTCCTACCCAAAACACCCTAAACCGAAACAGCCGACCTCGAGAACGCCAGCCAGAGGGAGATCCGAAGATGCTGCGGCACCCAGATGTCTCGCCACGCTCAGGAGGGTCGTTTTCGGAAGCGACCAAAAGGCGCTTCGGGCGGCGCAATGTAGCAGTGGAAGAGCTTCGTGGTTTCCTCTCGCCACAATGAAGCGATCAGCAGGGAACCGGGCGGCTCTCGCCTTCTGTTCCAAGGGACCGCACCACTGCACTGTCAAAGCCTCCCAATCCTCTGCACGAAGCAAATGAAGCCAAAACTTGCGACCTTCGGGCTTCGGAGAGAGGAATGTCTCGCTGCCAACCACGGAAGTGTCCATCGGCCAAGCGGCCACTGCACTGCCGCCGACACTGCCCATGCTGTAAAACCACTGAGAGTCCTCTCGCCCTCTAGGCCGCAAGCAGAGACGAGGAACATCGACCAACAAGCTGCACCAGCTGTTCTTAGCTGCAGCCCAACAGTCCTGTTGCTTGCAGTGCCGAAGTAAAGCCAGGTCCTCTGCTGGAGCCATGGAAGCTAGGGGGCTTGGACTGTACCACGGGGCTGTCCGTCTCGTGGACACAACCTTGCGCAGCTCTTCCCATGTCTCACGGGGCACCGGATGAAACAGTCCGCTGCTCGAGCTCGTGTTGAGGCCGGTCGGCACCACTTCCGTCTGCCAGGCTGGCGCAGTGAAGCGGTGCGTTTTGGAACCGAGCTTGCTCGACGACAATTCCTGCCATACAGTTGCTGGCCCGATTTTTTTGCTCATGCCTTTGTTGGTCTCGGCAACACGGGCCAGTCGCACAGAATCTTCCACAACCTTCGTCTGGGTGATTGCGGCAAAGTGCTTCTCCACGACATCACGAACGACGTCGCTTGCTTCCCATGCACTGGCCCGCAGCAGACGAAAAATCTGCTGTGTGTGGACGCACCGGAATGGGGATCTTTCCTGCAGCTTCTTCCAAAAAGGGCCTGACTCGAGCCGAAGACGCTCCCAGCAATCCCAGTCGTCTTTCATGGTGGCCAGAGCATATTTGAGCAGCCCTTCGTCCTTGGAAAGCAACAGCGCAAACATGCCAGGATATGTCTCGGAGTGCCACCCGAGGGACCGCAACCGCCTCTTGCACAAGGACAAAGCGTAGTCTGCTAGCTTCCCGACCACTTCCCGTTCTTCCACCACCAATGGATGCTCAGCATCCAGAATCCTGATGCCAGGTGGCAAAGCTGTGGTTGGCATGCCTAGCTCTTCCAGAAATGCCTCGCTCTGCAGCTGCTTCAGCGTCTCCTTGCAACTGTCTGCACCTTCACCGCTGGCCATGCCAAGCATCCAAGAGACGGATTCTTCGCAGCTCCTGTTGCGCTTATTCTGTTCACTGTGCCAGTCGCGCACGAATGCGGACAACGAGCACAGACCTCGACAAACCATCCAGAAGCACCTGTCCGTCATCACAAGTGCCGCGAACTCCAAAGTGTTTTTGCACGCAGAGCGTGCCTTCCGCACTTCGGCCTGGTCGTTCTTGGTGGTGCTCTTGCGCACGTCCTCGTCCTCGCTCCGTCGCTCCAAAGCAACCACCACTTTCTCTTTCTTGCTGCCCACCGGAGTGCCCAGTTGCAGACAGATGTACTCGTAGAACAACAAGCGCTGGCTCCACAACCTTGTCAAAACCTCCATCGAGTCGAAGAAAGCGAACCATCGGCTGAAGCCCACGTGAGGCATCTTCTTTTGTACCGCATCTGGCAGGCTTTCCCAAATTTCTGCCGCCACCTCCGGGTTAGCATCCTGCAGCGGCCGACCGGTCTCAACACAGATGCGCGGTAAGTGTGCCTGGAAAAGTGGGCACTCAGTACTTGCCAAGCGGTTGTACTCCAAAGCTGCTTGCTGGGACTCGCTGTGCCATTTCGCACCTTCCCAGGGCCCATGGTCCAGGTTCAGCAACACCAGCCCTATCATGCAAAGACTCCAGCAACCTGAGTCCTTCAATGCTAACTGAGCATCGTTCCAGACTCTGTGGGAAGCATCGTTGACTACCATGATGTTCACGTGCATGTGCTCCAAAAAGTGGACCGCGCAAAAACCGTCAGATCCCTGGTCCAGTGCGCATGTGATGCAAGGCCATGACTCAGGGCTCCTGGAACAGTCTTCCGGGATCTGGAAACTGCGCCAACCTTGTGCAAACATGGTTTCCAACGCATGGTTGGAAGCTAAGAGCCACTCGTATGCCTTCTTGCGGTAGAGTTGCTGCGGCTTTGCTTTCTCTACAGCTGCTTTGCCTGTTTGGGCTTTGCACCACTCCGCAGCTGCAGTTGCCCAGTCCCTCTTGGCCTGCCGCAGCTGCACGTAGTCTGGGTCCGGACGGTCCAACACTTGCACGGTCACAGGCGTCAGCAAGTCACGCGTCTCCTCTCAGGGCTGTGCATTTTCTTGAGGAGTCCGAAAAACTCCGAGAACAAAAAATATGAGATCTTTATGTGGTCTACAACACAAAAGCAAAACAAAAATCGTAAGATCCTTATGTGGTCTTCATGAACAAAAGAAAAACAGACACACCGCGTAAGGATCTCAGGAATTTTGTACCTCAAGATTCGCAACTAGATTCCAACATTATAGATACGACATGATGCCGCATTCCTACAAAATTCCACATCTCTGGCCTGTGGTGGCAGGAAAGCACCCACTCCGTCCGGGCAAGTCCCGAATCCGAAGAGGTAGTTCTTTCCACCGCAGCGGCTGGCATCGAAGGCGCACCCAACAACAGCATGTTCTGAGAAACAACGACGGGAAGCCAACCAGTAAGCCAACATCTGTTTGTCCTCGCTGCTGTTGGACTTCTCCCGCACTCGCAGCGCAACCTTGGACAACTTCATGCGCTTAGCACGAGCGCGCCCCTTGTCTGTGACCAGAGCTGTGTGGGCAGTCTCGCTGCCAACCTGCTCACTGGCATCCGGCAAGCCATGCTGGACGGGCAAGATGGCCTCATCCCAGCTTGCAGCCAAGAACCCCGCCACCTGTTTCCAAAACCAGTGCCACTTTTTGCCACGGCTTTCCACGAAAAGCAGGAAGTCTGTCAAGTTCACGCTCTCACCGCTCCAGGGTCGCTGCTGCCATACACCACGAAAGTACGGAGCTTCTCCTTACACCAACTTTGTTGGGGAAAAAGCTTTTATGGGAAACATTTTTCCTTACTCTCTGCCTACTTTGCATATTGCACTAGAAAGACTAGAAACATTTAAACAAACGAAAAGTATCAAATCCTGCAGTCTCGCACTTAAGACCCTCACGCGGACCAAGAACCTACAACCGCCACCCTGTTTCAAAACCTCAGAAACCTCTAATATAGTACGACCCTATGCGCCACGACAGCCTTGCGCCCATGAGCCTCCCAACCTGAACTCGAACTAGCACAAGGCAAAGCATCTTTCGTCCAACGTACTGCATTGAACGAACCCTCTCTCTATCACCACTGCCACTGGGTGCAATCCCTCGGCAGGCAGACCAGGCGAACACACCGCATCAGGGTCGAGGACGAATCTCGCAGTCACCGTTGTGTCGCCGAACGTGCGAAGCAAAAGTCCTTGCAACAAGGCTTTCCATGTGGATGCAGTCTCGGCGGATTTCTTCTGATTCGCTGATGTTTGGCACCACCGGGGTAGAAGGAAAGCAAACGCGAGGCTGCTCAAGCTGGGCTCAGGGAAGATGCGAGTCTCCGCGTTCGCGGTGCTGTTGCTCTTGCACTTCTGGATCTTGGCACGCCGCACGTGACAGTCACTGGGCCACCGCTGAGAGGAGATGGCCTTCTCCCACCACGTCCACCAATTCTGATACCATTGGTGCGGGGTTCTTGGGCAATCTTTGCCAAACGCTTCCAGATGCAAGCTTTTGCAGCTCCAGAAGACACGCGCCCCATCCCAAGGGCGCTCTAACTGATACACTGTGACTTGCAGCATCTGGCCAGATCCATGGATGGGAATGGGCACCTCTTTGGTGATAAACTGGCTCTTGAAAGTCTCGAGCTTCCTAACAACGCCGTGCGAGTCAACAACGACTTTGGACGGTGTGCCATTCTCGTCGTCGCACACTACAACATTGAACTCCAGCAAGTCAACGCACCAGTGCTGTTGCCCTTCCGCTGA